GTATAGTTTACAACATGAGCGGCCGTGTTGTATGGGAATTACAATCTCGAGCCGCAGGCGAGAGATTGTAATTCCCATACAACACGGACGCGAATGTTGTAAACGACTTATAAAACTCCAACACAAATTAACATGAATTACAGTGAGATAAATTACGAAAAATGACAAATAAGGTAACTGCTGAGTTTAGTCCCTATTAAGCATGCGCAATTTACTGCAACACAGAACATTTTGAATAATTATCCATCCCACATGGAAAGCAAGCCATCTGTTGCATAAGCGAGTTCTGTTATCCGTCTTTGATTGCTTCAAAACCTAGTGAAGGTCTATGATGCGACACTAAAACTGAGACCTTTGCTAGTGTTGGGTTGTCTCAATGGTGACTACCGTGTTGTAAATCTGATACAACCACTAGTGGTTGTATCAGATTTACAAGGTCAATCACCTGATTAAATGGTCAGCCCTTATTGGAGCAATAGCTTATGCATTATTAATAAGTTTTATAATATTCTATATATATCTGATTCCGACTTTATGAAAGCTTTAGCTTTAATATTAATAGTAATTCTATGTTGGGAACATTGCAAATAAGAAGCATCTTTTGGCTATTGTTTTTAGTGCTTATGAATGGACAAAATCTTTTAATACAAAAGAACTTTGTTTCAATAATGCTAACCACGGGTAGCCCAAGCTCTTTACTTGATATAAGAGAATGTATGTGAATCTATGTAAACAGTTACAGTTACAATAAATTTCGCTATAACTTATTGTGTGCATTATTATAGCTACTGGTAATCTCTGGAGCGATTTTCAGAACTTTTATGATTTTTTCCCCTCTTACTATAATCTGTGACAGGATAGGAATCGAAGCCCTCCATATCCACTTCGAACAGCTCTAAATTTGGTTGATTTTTTCGTCGAAATTCGACTCCTAACGCAATGTGCCTTTGTACAGCTGTCAACTAATAACTTACCACTGCAGAAATGCTGGTTTCATCGAGCCAGTTGATTTTCTTGAGCCATGAGCTCTCCTGAGGCAAGTAAAACCCGTGTCAAAACCGCCATTTTGCCACTGTGTCTGAGAAAGTACTGTACAAAAGCATGCAAAAATCCAACGTRCCGGGGAGGTCATGTCTACGAAATTAATTCAGTCTTTGTTTTTCTTCAACCATTCACAGGTTYGAACGTGCCACATGGCCTTCGAATGTGTGCATGGAAAAGCCCGCATATCGCATTTACGAAATTCACACTCCATGATGACCATGATGGCTTATTCGCCGAAAAAGCGAAGGAAACACGATTCCGCTACCTCTTTTGCTTACATTCGAGCTTGGTAAGTCGTTTGGACTTAACATATTTCCCTAGAGCACACAAACAAACTGAATATAATAGAAAATGCGCGTTGGAGCTGTCTGTATATTGCTTATAGCAGTTGAAAAGTAAAATTTCATATTTGTGACACTTTACAATCATTGAATTCCTACTACCTTCCCTTCTAAAAGACAGAGTGACACAAGTAACATTGGGTTTCTTTATGAGTTGTGTAAAGGACAAGCTCGAATTAAAGCAAGAGGTAGCGGAATCGTGTTTCCTTCGCTTTTTCGGCGAACAAGCCATCAAGGAGTGTGAATTTCGTAAATGCGATATGCGGGCTTTTCCATGCACACATACGAAGGCCATGTGGCACGTTCGTACCTGTGAATGGTTGAAGAAAAACAAAGACTGAATTAATTTCGTAGACATGACCTCCCCAGCACGTTGGATTTTTGCATGCTTTTGTACAGTACTTTCTCAGACACAGTGGCAAAATGGCGGTTTGGACACGGGTTTTACTTGCCTCAGGAGAGCTCATGGCTCAAGAAAATCAACTGGCTTGATGAAACCAGCATTTCTGTAGTGGTAAGTTATTAGTTGACAGCTGTACAAAGGCACATTGCGTTAGGAGTCGAATTTCGACGAAAAAATCGACCAAATTTAGAGCTGTTCGAAGTGGATATGGAGGGTTTCGATTCCTACCCTGCCACAGATTATAGTAAGAGGGGAAAAAAATCATAAAATTTCTGAAAATCGCTCCAGAGATTACCAGTAGCTATAATAATGCACACAATAAGTTATAGCGAAATTTATTGTATATTTATGCCATARATCAACTGTTTACATAGATTCACATACATTCTCTTATATCAAGTAAAGAGCTTGGGCTACCCGTGTGCTAACATCACCATTAAACCGATTTGTGCAGTCATTTTTAAAAGAAGCAATTTTGATATGAATATCCGACATTTTTGAGTCCGCCATCTTGGATATTTTTTAAGTGTTATAACCCATTAAATGACACAAATTTGGCCCAATTTTCAGGAGTCTAACGGTTAAAATGTGATATTTTATAGTGTGATCGGATAAAACTGGGCTAAAGATATTTAATCTTGAAGATTGGTTTTAGGGCTTCCCCTGCCAAATATAAAGTGCAAAAAATCCCTGGGTACGAATACTGTTTGGTGACGTCAAGAGAGTTGCAAGGCATGCGTAACAGATCTTTTACCCGGGACTCCTGTTTGTTCAAAATCCAGGACAAGCTGAAACTTTTAGGTAGAATAGGATGAATGAGATACCGAATATAGCGCTTCTTTTTCGTTTGCTCTCTGTGTATTTTTATGTACTGGTATTATATCTCAGTTCACCTGGGATTGCATTATAATTAGTAATATTGTGGGATCACTTGAGCAATAACAGTTCCCTCTTATTGCATTTTCATGTTAGCCTGATCATGAACAAACAATTCACAAACGTTCGACAAATGCTATTACTGCTTCACATTTAAGGTAAATTTAAGATTTGATAGTTTATTGTCAAATATGTATAGTGTATTTTATATCGACGTACCAAGAGTCGATCAAATATGCGCCTTGTTTTTTTTTTTTTTTTTTTTTTTTTCGTGTTATGGAAATTAGTACTTTTTAACTGTTAAAAAGGCATCAAATCTAATATTCAATGTTATTGCATAAGGATTAACTTTAACATTCGCAATAAGGAGATAGCACCTGCTTTCAAGTTAATCCTATTGCAGGACATAACGTCCTTTATTATCCAGTAAATAATAACAATCGTAAGTCTTTTTAATTTCGAAATCCAACTAATTGAAAAATCAGTAAAATAGGTCGTAGTCTTGGTATGCAAGTTACGTAATCGCCGCCATGTTGGATGAAAATCACAAAGCATTCCTCATTAACTTCTCTTGTTCATTCATCCAAATGGCGGCGAGAGCTTTGTTCTTTATTTCTCGGTGGAATCTTGGTCACGTGCTTGCACACCAAGAATAATATATTCAAACTGGACAATGTAGTCGGTTAAAAGCTTTCCAAATCCCAAGGGTTTCCAGAACCATTGTTTCGCTTATCTGCTTATCCAGTTCAGGGTCTTATAAGAAGCTAATTCTATGTTGCTTTTGTTTAGCTCAACTTCATGCATCTTTGAAATTCCGAAGAATAATACCATAGCTTACATAAGCAAGGTTAACATGCTATTTTATAGTTTTTGAGAGTAATGCGTGCAACCATTCAAGATGGCGATGTTGTGGTACAACCGGATAACTTTACTGCTTGCTCTGGTCAAAACAGTCTGTTCTGGTAAGTGAATTGATTTTTAAGTCTTGAATCTGAACTGTGAAAATAAACCCTTTTAGCGATCATTTTTATCACTGTGTTAACCTCAAAACCTGCTGTCGTAAGACTGTTACTGTGTATGTATTTAATTCGGGTTTCTGCCGAATTTCGTGGGGTGAGCGAACAGGCGTAGTCGTAGTCCCGTAAGCTGAAATTACCACACGAGACGGCACGACTTTGGAGAGAGAGCACGAAATAAATTTTACTAGCTTGCGTGCGACTATGTTGGTCAATAGAGCTTGGGTTCCATTTATACTGCAAGGGGGCACCATACGCTAGAGCTAAATATACATTGGTCGCAGCACTGTTTCGCAGCTCGTTCTCGGTCGAGATTTTTACTTTAATTTATGTCCAGGAAATATTCTTTTTCCGTTCTTCAACAAATAATTGATTAAGTTCAAGGATGGTATCTAATAGGTTTTGCAAGTGCAACTTAAGGTGGATCACAACTAGTGGAACAAGTAAAAATATTGGTATTCTTTCAATCCTGAAAGTTATAGAACTGAAATTTACGCACATTAAATTCCACAAATGCATGTACTACATATCGCAAGCTAAGATCATTGCAATCGGTTGTTTGTTTGTTGTTTTTATCTATATAAATATAGCTGTTTATTCTATGTAGGTCATATTTTGGGCTCATTTTTGAGCGGCGTTCATATCTTTACTGATCTGCCCGAGATCCGAACAAATTCACAGCCCTTATGCAGTTTGATGAGATATACAAATTCTGAAAATTTCAACCGACTGTTAGTATAAAAGTAAATCGTCAAAAACTGAAATTATCAGTGTTTTAAAATGCGCTTTATCTTTAAAACCAGCCAATAAATTACTAAATACTGACAACTGACAAAAACTGCAATAATCACTACATATTGTATCAAAATTTTAGCAGGTTTGACTAAATTCTTTTGCGAAGCGAGCGAGTTAAAATAGAATCAAATTAAGACTACACTTTTACTCCGACGAAGGATTAACGTCCGAAACGTCAGTAAGTTATTTCACATACTTTTTTACGGTGTTAAATTTATCTTTTTACATAACTGTCAAATTAAGATTGCTACAAGAAATGTTACCAGCTCATCTTGTTTCGTGAGCTACACCAACGGAAACAAAGTATGGTTTTGAACACATTTCAGTAGCAAATAGAATCTGTGTATTTATGCAAATTTTATTCATAAAGTTCGACATTCGAACTTGTGTAATCGACTTGTCTAAAGTCGCATAAATTATATAAAGCGAAGACCAGCATATTCGGTGTATAGCAGAAATAAATATATTTTCTACCAAGATTGGAATGCAAAGCCTATACAAATGACAGCAACTATTTGATAAAGGTTGAGCTATTACTACAATTAGAATAACCAAAATCTCTGGAGCCATTTCGAAAAAATGGCCTTTTTTGTGATTTTATAAAAGGCCGTACAATTTTAGCTACTATTTTGTTTTGAAATCGCTTGTAATCAGGACGAAGGTTCAAAAAGCCTTTATGCAATAATTTTTTAGATTCGCGGTGTTTGACATTTTTCGTCGTGAAATGTTGGTAAATCTATGGAAAATACCAATGCGGGCTATATTTGTAGTAAAATCTTACGAGTTACAAATTGATGTTGTTGAATTAAGTAAACTGACCGTACTACTACTTCAATCGGTTCTATAGCTATCATCGCATCTTTCATGACGTAGTTTCCGATATGGTTTTATAATCTTGAATTACCCGGTATAATCCCATTACGGACTAAAAACTGTTTTTGACTCATTTCTCGAGTAGGGCATACGTTTTAAACGGGTCCCTGGAAATAGAGTTACAAGCTACGAAGTTACAAAGTTACAAAGTTACGAAGTTACAAGGTTAAATTCTGTTACATTTCTGTCAAGAATATGTCAACAAGCCCTACTGCTATTGACTAACTATATTATTATTATATACTTTTAATATTATGCGTTAGACTATCTTAGAAAATCTAAAAACTATGGCTATAAACTAACTAACTATAAGAGAGAGAACCTGGTCCTTTGCTCTGAAAAAAAGTTATAATTATGACTAAGCGGGGGAGGGGCCAGTATGGTTTGAAATGTATGGTTTGAAATGTCCAACCCTGATCGTATCAACTTATCAAGCCTCGACCTTCCTTCATGTATACAACACAGGGCTTCCAAAGGGTTAGGCTTAGGGTAAGGGATAGGGTTAGATTATATTGAGGTATATAGAGCGTATAATGAGTGTTGTATACATTGAGAAAGAGCCCGACCTTCGGCGATATCGTCGAAATACAGCGGGTTTTCGTTGTGATAGCGTTGAAGTTTCGAAACGAAATTGCATGTGTGAATGGAGAGTTTCTCTGGCAAAGATAATCCGAGGGAATATTGGCGTGATTCACATTTTCGGAGGAGCTAGAAATTAATTTCTGGCGGTCACTGTGGGGTTGACCTAGCTACCTTCCCTTCTTTTTAGAGCGAATGATAACAATAGCAATAAATGTCTCAAAATAGCTCAAAATGGCATGAAACTCAACCGGAATACAAAGAAAACCCCAATAAACAGGTAGAGATGTTTATTTTTTTTATTAAAGTAGCATATTTCGCAAAATTGCTAAAAACGGTTAAAATGTATAGCTTGGGCTACCTGTGACTCAAGATATACACAAGAATTCAGTAAGTGAATTTC